AAAAAAGGCTTGCGATTATTGGTTCCGTCCCGATAGCAGAACCAATAAAACGTTGTTGTGGCCGGAACATTTGGGAGATGTGTTCTGGTTAAGTTGTCGCAAGCAGGTTTTTCTTGTGTTTCTTGTGAATTTGGTCTTAAATTTCTATTTCAAGTGGCATTAAAAAGTCTTGAATTTAACTTGCCTCATGCTGTAGGAACCCTGTTTAAATGCTTTCTGTTTTATCACTGCTCTGTGCTGGAAATGGGATCCTACGCTCCTGTTTGGGCTTTGGATTTAAACAGAAATCTCTTTGAGTTTCATGTTTTCCTTTTGTTCTAACATTATCGTATAAAGTTTGTAATCTATAGAAAGAAACAACTAAAATGCAGATAAAGGTGGTTTAAATATATTTTGCTCTGAGCATGTCCGATGTTGACGTCAGACAAGCAGTTGAACAGAGAAAATGTAAAAAGCTTTAAATTATCTCAGAAAAGTAATCAATAATTAAGTAGTTTAGCATTCTTTAATTATTTAAGGATGAAAATAAGTAATAAGTCAATAAGTAAATATAAGTAAATAAGTACCATAATTACATTCATCCAGAGGATAAATATCTGCTTACACATGTGCAAATGAGCGGATGGTGTGGATTGGGTAGTCAAAGCGCTGCTTCCTCCACACGCTGAAAAGTTCAGACATATTAGCATCTTACAGGATGCTAATGTTGCATCTTATTTTTAACATGGGGCTTCAAAGTTTACTAACCTGCATGGCTGCGCCTGTTCTGACCTCACTTTCTGCCTCTAATGACTGGAAATGTTTATTCTGTGAACTGCTTTGTCTCTTCAGGCTGCTATCGGCTGTGTTTTCCATTTAGCCATGTTCACTGGCATACATGCCGTTGTAATGCACTGCTGCTATCATGTGTTAACAGAAGGGTTGTAAAGTCGGGGCTTTAAAACCCTTCTGTTACCTTTAATCTGTGTTTACATGTTTCTGATAGAAGAGCCAATGTGTGTGAGCCCTTCATGCCATGTGTTTATTTTCCAGACCAGAGGCTCCATCCCTTTCTACTGGTCTCAAAGGCCTAATCTGAAGTACAAGCCAAAGCCACAGATCAGCAAGGCGGTTAACCATGTCAGTATTTCACTCCCAGTTTACATAAAACCACACTTTGTACTTCTTTGTTCTATTAAATGTCTGATGGTGTTTCCTCCTTGATGTTCATCCCAGTTAGATGGATTCCAGAGGCATTTTGATTCTCAAGTCATTCTCTATGGAAGACAAGTCATTTTGAACTTGGTGAGTCATGTTATCACAGGTTTTAATGATTTCAATTCAGTTTATTTCTATAGCGACAATTCACAACACGTCATCTCAGGTCACTCTACAGTTCACCAGATCATCCAGTCAGATTGATTCAAAGTTTTCTATCTAAGGAAAACCAGCTGATTGCATCGACTCATTGACTCTTCAGCAATCCCTCACACTAAGCATGCTTGTAGCGACAGTAGAGAGGAAAAACTCCCTTTTAACAGGAAGAAACATCCAGCAGAACCAGGCTCTGTGTGAGCGGCCATCTGCTGAGGCCGACTGGGGTTCAAGGAGACAGAAGCAGACATAGAAATAGAAGCATAGATACAAAAGGCAACTGTCAACCAGCTTCACAGGCGGCCCCGTCCAGGAAACACACAGCCAGGCAGACGAGCTCCGAGCCAGCTCCCATGTCAGAGGATGAAGAGAGCACATCCAGTTAGTCACAGTCAGAGAAACAGGACTACACTGAAAAAACAGGCCAATCCCCAACATCTAGAAACAAAGGTGTTGATGGCAGCAGCACAGCTGATATTTCTCTCCAGGATGGAGTCACAGCCAAACAGGAACAGACCAGATGAAGCTACTTTGCGGTATTTGTTAGTTCAATCTCCTACGTTCAGCTTTTTGTCAGAGTGGGAGAATAGAGATAGAATGAAGCAGAATGATGAAAAAGGGGTCCCTATGTCCTCCAGCAGTCTAAGCCTATAGCAGCATAACTATAGAGATAGCTCAGGATAACCTGAGCCACTCTAACTAGAAGCTTTATCAAAAAGGAAAGTTTTAAGCCTAGCCCTAAAAGTAGACAGGGTGTCTGCCTCACGGACTAAAACTGGTAGGTGGTTCCACAGGAGAGGAGCCTGATAATTTCGTAACCGAAACATGTTGAGGTTCTGCTAAAAAAATGTTCAGATAAAATGAACCATGAGAAAGCTGGACTTCTCATTCATCTTATGGCTATTCTCCCACAGATCAACCAGAAAGGTTCAGAAAAACCCTTGGAGTTGGCGTTTGACAAGATTGTAACCAGCTCGGGTAATGGGATGATCAAGTAAGCCTTCCGATCGGTTCCAGAGTTGCTTCTACATCCACTGACCCTGATCTGGTGCAGTTTTGGTTGACGAATGGTGCTCTGCAGGTACATCGCATTTGACTTTCATAAGGAATGTAGTCGGATGAGGTGGCACCGCCTTCAGATCTTGCTGGACGTCGTTTCTGAAACACAGGAGGACTTTGGGTCAGTGTTATTGAGGCACTCGGAATGATCATCTAGGAGGTGCAGGGTTGCTGTTCAGCTGATTCATGATGGGTTTATGGTTTCAGGTATTTTCTCGTGGATGCTGAGGGGAAGGTACAGTTAACCCAGGAGGGTGTATTCCGGAGCAACTGCATGGACTGTTTGGACCGTACCAATGTGATCCAGTGTCTGCTAGCGCGGCGCGCCCTTCAGTCTCAGCTGCAGGTATCGTTAACATCCATGATATCATTTCATTTGAAATGACTCTTAACCAATTTATGCCTGTTGTTGAAGAAATGCATCAAACTGCTGCATGAATAGCCTAGATCATGGCTCACCCAGGGGCCCTCAGGGACCACATGGGGCCATCAGTATGTTCTGAAAGCAGCACAACTCACCAATGGGCTAAGTTTAAATAAGTTTAACTTATTTTTTTCCATTGCTCTTCTTTTTTAATCAGATCTCATTTCTACAGATTTTAAAATCACAATATTAGAAAAAACAATGAAATTAATAGTTTGATCCAATTACTTGTTTATTTACTTTATGTTCAGCAAGGACTGATGTTAAATATTCATATCAACACAAACAATTGTTCATTTTATTGTTTGAATTACAAACAGCTGCAGGTCAGAGGTCACCAGCCTCTCTTAAGGCTGAGGACTACTTCATGTTTATAGACAATGTTGTTCCAGTTCATAGTTAAAAAGCACAAGCTCAAAATTTAGTTCAGATGGATGGAAATGATTGTTTGTTTGAATGAAGCCACAATCCTCCACAATAGAACCTCATATTTCACACTGAAATTGTCTGATCATAATATATGGAAAGAAATAGAAAATACAGGATGCTGTCAATGTTTGCTGGATGTGCAGTGAAGCCTTTATTTAGCCAAATTACACAGAACATTCAGGAACATTCAGGAACATTCAGGTTCCGCTGAAAAGATCTGGATCAAAATGATTTCTTCCGTTCTTCATTCAGTAGCAGATATTTCCACAGACAGCTCAGATCCTTTAACTTCATGCGTCGCTTAATTTAAAAAAAAAATATTTTTGATCGTACAACGAACATACAAATAAAAAGGAACAAAGTACACTAATATGAACATGTCTGGGTAGCACCTTTTTCAGTTTTTCTGTTTATATAATGTCCATTTTTCCCATTTTTTTTTTTATCTGTGGTTCTTGTAGTCTCAGTCTGTGTGTTAGTCTTTCCATGAGGAATATGTCTTCAATCATTGTGATCCATTGGTCCTTTGATGGCATGTCTGACTTCCCCCATTTCCTTGTTATACATTTCTTTGCAACTATCAACATCACTTTTTCCAAATAGTTATCCTTTTCATGGATAATATCATCACCAAAATTGCACAAATAGAGAATTTCATGTTTTATTGGAATCACATACCCTAATACCTCTGCAAACCATTTCCCAAAACTCCAAAAGTTTTGAAAACTTCCAAAAAACATGGGAATGGCTGACATCTATCTCCCCGCACTCTCTCCAACATTCTTGATGCTTATGCATTTGTTTAGTTTTGGACTTGGGCGTAATAAAAAATCTCATTCAAATTCCCTCCCATGTCCGAGAGCCAGTAGTTGTACGGTGTAGTTTCCACATGTTGAGCCAATCAATATCTTCAATTTCTAAGTCAAATTCTCTTTCCCATTTTCCCTTCACATAGTTAGTTGTATGTTTATTAAGGTTTATTAGGGCTTTGTATAATGCCGTTATTATTCTAATATTACTGCCTTTATATGCTTTAATTATAATTTGGACCACTTGGCTCTCTTCCACGGAGGGCCTCGTTTGTATTTCCTTTTTGTAATAGTCTCTCATTTGGAGATATCTGAAAAAGTCATGTTTATCAAATTGATATTTATGTGCCAGAGTTTGGAAACTCTCCAGCCTCCCATTGTTTTCCAGAACACACCAAGCTGTAACTGCCTTAGTTGCCCAGTATCTATAATTTTGGTTGATTTTGGCTGGCGTACATTTGCCATCATACGCTACCCATTTTAGTTTTGTTGTATGTTTTTGGATTTTATGCAGACGCAGTATTCTAAACCAGATATTAAACGTATGTTTAGTTATCAAGTCTAAGTGTGGCTTAATTTTAAAATGGTCCCGGTGTGCACAGTTTACGCAGAAACGCGAGTCTGCATCTTCCTTTGTTGGTTCATAAAATTCTGCCAAGCGCTCTGCTAAAGTGGAATCAAAAATACCATCAGAAGAGTCTGAGTGGAGCAGACTGGTTCTAGCAGCAGACAGGCTGCTCTGTCAGGCTGTTGGTCGGAATAAGTGCTGTAAAACCTGATATTATCCAATGAAAAGTGTCGTTATCAACTGAATGTGAACATGAGCTTAGTGTCGCTCATTATTCTCAGAGTGAATGTCGCTCTTATTCACGTTCATTATTTCAAAACTGATCCGTTCACTAAAAATAGGAAATTATTCATTGAACGATTTCATGCATGACACTGGTCATAAGAAGGGCTCCTAATACTGACCTGTGAACTGGAGGAGACAGCATTCACCTAAACATCAAACAGAATAAACATTTATTATTTCTTTAAATTTTCTTTTACATGTTTTCATTTTGAAATCTCTATAAATGCTGAAATTCTCTACATCAGTGGTTGTCAATCCTTTTCCTCAGGGCCCATTGACCTGTTTATTTAGGTCCCTCCTTGCTGCCCGTCTTAAATAAAACGGCCACCTGCAGCACTGATGAGTCTGTTGCAGCACACCTGCTTCAGATGATTGCAGAGAGACGTCTTAAACATGCAAGGACCAAGACAGCGAACCACTTGATGATTAACACCATGAGATCCTCCATAAATGATTCACAAGAGAAGAGCAACACAATAAAACAAGATTCCAGACTTAGCCTACTGAGCTGTTCTGTTTTCAGAAGACGCTGAGCGCCCTCCCTTTAGTCATGTACAAAAAACAATTTAATTACTTATTTTTTTGTGGTTTTTGAAGCGTACGGCGATCTGATCTTTTTTTTTTTATCTTTTTCGTATATGACTAAAGAGATGCACGCCCATTGAGGTAGTTTAAAGTCCATTTTTCATTCAAAAAAATAAACGGATAAATGCAAATCTGATGTGTTGTGCATCTTCTTGACTATGGGTTTGCTGGTCTGCAGAGGTATGCTCATTTGACAGAACAACGGCGCTTGATGTGGTGGAGCGTTAGAGGAGCTTAGGGGCCAGTCTGAGATTCAGTCATGGAATCCTCTCCATGCCATGAATTTGTTCTGTCCAGCCACTGAAGCTCAATTGAATTCAGCAGTGAATTGAGTTGTACAGACTGGACTCAGCTGGTTCAGTGGCTGCGCTGTGGCATGGAGGTGACTTGTTGAATCCATCTCCCACCTCTGGTTTCACTACAAACATGTATGCAACATCTTTTAAGCAGCCATAACTCTGCAAGTCAGACACCTAAAGCATTTATTTAGACTTTAAAGTCGTAGGTAAGTTATACTTAAATGTCAAATCATTCTGGCTTAAACATGTATATAAATGTTCTCTTTATCAGACAATATTGTCCCAAAAATTTCTATATTTAAAAAAAATCCTGTCTTAAAATCTGTCCTTTTGCTTCCGTTATCTTCTGCAGGCCAGTTAGTTATACGTCAGCCTGAACACCTAAATTCGGCCAATCATATATCAACGGTCATCTATCAATCAAATATTTTCGGTCATATCATCTTGATTCATATGTCGCAGCTAATATACGCAAAGGTTGAAATCAGAATCCTTTCCTTTCCCATTGAGTTGCGTCCCAGTGTTCACGGGGATGGACGTCTGTGTCTTCAGCAGGCATAGAGCTAACAGAACTGGCAGTGTTGCGAGGCAAGGGCTCAAACATGTACGGCTGGAAGCCTTCTACACCAAACCAAGCTTCTGCCGCCCTGGCGTCCTCTTCCACAACATCTTCGTCCCCGCTTTCCTCCTCTAAATAAAAAAATGTATGATGGAGGAGACTCATCCACGACCTCCGACACTAAACTCTCCTCCTCTTGCATGTTTCCGCTGTCCATAGCGTTCCTTGACAGTGTCGTTTCTAAGTCACCAATTTAGTGCTACTTGATCCCAATGGAATTTCCCATTGGGAACCTACTAGCACTAAAGGGTTAGTTATTATCCCTGCAGCAGTGTGTCACAGTGAGCTTGACGCAGACATTTATTATTTATGCTAAATTTTGAAGCGTGGTCTGCTCTATACCCTGAGGCTCTAGATGCGGCCGAGGCGGTGAGGAAATGGGGGCGAGTTTGTCCGACAACGGAGGGACATGAGGGCTTAAAATAGCGGGGATCCAGGTGGAAAAAGGGTCCCAGCGTTCTCACGCACTTCGCTCTTCTTGCTGGTCCAACTTCACAAGTTGTTGTATTTCAGTCATAAAAACAAAACAAGCCGGCCTCCTGTCTGCAGTCACCTACAGTTTGGGCGAGGTGCAGCAGAGTGTCTACGGAGGGGGAGTAGACGTCTTTTTGTTCAATGCGACACCTGCGCAGACGACCTAGTTTCAAAGTATAAATCAGCCTTAAGTTGCTAACTGGTTAGCAAGATGATTCAGACAAACCAGCCAAACATGCTTGTAAACCTTCTGCCACAACAATCCCGCCCCCTTGATAAACGACCAATCACATTCACTTTATTCACTTGTGCAAAGTCGAACACCACTCGGGACAATTTGGAAATGCAAAGGTTGGAACAGCCACTTCCCTATGACTTCAAACTACCTCAACCGCCGCATATCTCTTTAGTCATGTACAAAAAAAAATAAAAAATACTAAGGTCAGATGACCATATGCTTCAAAAAACACCAAAAGGTAAATAATTAAATTGCTTTTTTGTACATGATTAAAGGCTGTTGAGGTAGTACATTTTTTTATTTTTTTTTTTACAAAACTAAATGGATAAACAGGTTTTGACTATGGGTATGCTGGTTTGACTGGGTATGTTCATCTGACAGAGCACCAGCCTGAAGGGGTGTGGTAGAATAGGTGATAATGTGGACACTTTGTGAGAGCAGGAATTTATTGTAAACAAGAACAACAGAAAACATGTTTTAATCTGGTTTCCTCTATAGAAAGTTTTATCCTGATTGCTTTATATTATGAAACAAAATCAGCATTTAAACCCAACATGTCAGACTTCTAAAGAAACTTCTTTCTTCTGACAGAGAATGGGACTTCTTCATAAGGACCAGAAAATTGAAGACCAGGCAGATTTTGAGAAGATCTACAAGAATGGTGAAGTTTTCAATATATCCTCCATTTTCCATCATGCATTATTAGGACAATAACATCTCGTAATAATAGACAGTCAGACTTCTGTGTTGCTGGCACAGTTTCAAGCATCTGAGGAATGCAGTGGTCAGGGTATCTGTGGGGCCCTGGGTGTCTGGCGCCATGCTGTCCTCAGCCTCTTACATGGCACATATTAAACCTTCCATGTTGCCTTCACGCAGGTCCAACAGAAAACTGGACATTTCATTGAGTATGGGAATTTATCCTAATGTCTCCGCCTCCCTTTGAGTCCCATGATCTTGTTTGCAAAGGTTGTGAGCAGTGACCTACTCCAACTGTTAGGATTATTCCAGTGAGACAGTGACTTTGGACAAATTGATCCTAGGATGGAAAAAGCAAAGATATGATGTTTAGCTGCAGTTTCATGGAGCTCAGAATTTCAGATTCCTGATCTGGAGCTGCTGAACAGAAGCCTAACCATGTTTATTTCCCCTCCATGGGACTCTGATGTCACAGTTTCTGTAGCTTTTCTGGACTTAATATTTAACTTCAATGAGAGCCTGAAGTTTTGTGAAGACAATTAATTACATTTTTAAGTTTACTAGCATCCCGTTTTATGTTATGCCTTGTTTACAGCTGTGCACATGCAGGGAAAGAGGGCTGTAGACATGGCACATCTGCCAAAATAGTTGATAGCTTGATATTATCAATATAAACAATTAACTATTCAAAGAAACACATTGACGTCAAATCAGTATTCCAAAGAAAGCTTAAAAAAAACAATCCACCGGGTATCCACAAAAGCCATCTTGAATATAACGCTTGGATTGTTTGCTTGGTTGGACCCATTCAACATGGACGTGCTTGATGTCACATGTGCAGAAACGGAGCAGAAGCAAATGCATTCAGGGAAATCGGCTACAGGCTGATATATATGCATCGGCGCTGAACTACTCAGGCGTCAGTCTGCTCATCTCACTATGTTTTAGTCATAAAGGGTCAAATAGAAAGGCTGCTTTAGATATTTTTAATAAAAATGTACCTAATGTCTCTTTAATCTGAGCTGTCCAATGCTTTTTGGTTTACTGACGCATATAATGTCTTTGCTTTGTCTCTTAACTCGTCTGCAGCCTGGGCAGACAATGCTGATGCTTGTGCCAAGCAGTACGCTGGAACTGGTGCCTTAAAAACAGACTTCACCAGGTCAGTATTCTCTTAGTAGAGCTCCTCCTCTGTCTGTTCCTTTCTCCGTTGTTTTCAGATGAAGCTTTTTGTTCCTTTTTATATGTCCTCTTAAATATGTCAGTTGTTCTGTCTGAATGAGCAGGCGGTGGGGTGTCAGCCTAACCAGTTATGGCTGATGGCTTTAGAAAGAATCCATTGATTCCTGTCACACTAGTCTGGGATGCCTCCATTGCTCCTCTGTAGACTGAGATGGTTTTCAATTCACTTTATTTCTATGGCGCCAATTCACAACACGTCATCTCAAGGCACTTTCCAGTTCACCAGATCATCCAGTCACATTGATTAAAAGTTTTCTGTTTTAGGAAAACCATTTCATTGTATTGACTCAAAGGCAAAGCCTCCTACTACGCATGCTTGTAGCGACAGTGGAGAGGAAAAACTCCCTTTTAACAGGAAGAAACCTCCAGCAGAACCAGGCTCAGTGTGAGCGGCCATCTGCTGAGGCCGACTGCGGTTCAAGGAGACAGAAGCAGACATAGAAAAAGCAGCTCCACAGGCGGCCCCGTCCAGGAAACACACAGCCAGGCAGATGAGCTCAGAGCCAGCTCCCATGTCAGAGGACGAAGAGAGCACATCCAGTTAGTCACGGTCAGAGAAACAGGACCACACTGAAAAACAGGCTGATCTCCAACATCTTTAAACAAAGGTGTTGATGGAAGCAGCACAGCTGATATTTCTCTCCAGGATGGAGTCACAGCCAAACAGGAACAGACCAGATGAAGCTACTATGAGAAAAAGCAAAGAGAGCAGAACTTTAGAGATAACTTAAGTTTTTTGGATGAGGTATAACATTCCAGCTAAGGTAGAGCCAAGGACTCTGAGATGCAAGTTTAGGAAGTGAAATATAAGGAAACTGGTCCGGCTTAATGTAAACACTGAGAGACGGCCATATGTGTACAGCTTATATGATGATTGATGGCAATATCCAAAGACAACTTATTAGGATTTATTTTCATGTTTTACTGAGGTATGTAATGTCCAGTTGTTGCTTTAATAATGTTCTGTGGGTTTTTAACCAACATTCTGTTTTTCAGGACGGGAAAGAGAACTGTTCTGGGTGCCATGATGGATGGCTGGAACTCTGCAATCAGATATTACAAGAACAACTTCTCAGATGGCTTCAGGCAGGTGAGTTCAGACGGTTCTTTGTTTGGGGGATTCATGTTCAGTTACTAAATCCTCATGAAGGCATAGAGTGAGTGAAGCAGCTCTGTTTCCTGCCAGAACTACCTGGTCAGTCACTCCTCTGGAGTAACGGATCAGTTGTGAGTCACGAAATGGGGAAGTTCCTCTACAGGCTGGAGTTCTGTCAGATGAGCATACCCACAGTCAATACCGATTTATCTCTTCAGTTTTTGTAGGAAAATGAAACTTTAGAAAACTTCAACAGGCATTTATCCCTTTAGTCATGTACATAAAAAGCTATTTAATGACTTACTTTTTGGTGTTTTTTAAGCATATGGTGATCTGACCTTAAATAGTTTTTTTTCTTCATGACTAATGGGATACACACCCATTGAGGTAGTTTAAAGTCTATTTTTTGTACAAAACTAATGGGATAAACGCTAATCTGAGGTCTTGTGCATGCGTATTGACTATAGGTATGCTGGTCTGATGGGGTATGCTCATCTGACAGAACACTGGCCCACTCTCAGAAGGTTCTAACTGTGATGAAAGTGATTCTGTGAACATGTTCATGATCGACCAACACTATTCAGCTGCATCCAGGTCTGTGTCTGTGTGCAGGACTCCATAGATCTGTTCCTTGGGAACTACGCTGTGGATGAAGCGGACTGGACCACCCCACTGCAGGACCGCAAAGACTGGAAGTTTTTAACTGTAAGAAATAATCTAGAATAATGCAGCAAGATATTTGAAGCCGTTTTAATTGTGACTCTTCTCTGTTTCTGTTTTTCTAGCTGCCCATCGTCATGGTTGTAGCTTTTTCTATGTGCATCATCTGTCTGCTGATGGCTGGTAAGACGCGTCTGTGAAGCAGAAACTAAAGTTATTATTATTATGATGAAGCTGCATCATCTGTTTGGCTAACAACCAGACCACCTCTCAGAATTAGCTTTAGCTGGGAGACCTGAGGGGTTGATGAAGCCTGAAGTGTCCTGATGGATCATTACTCTCCTTTCTTTTTTAGCTGCTCAGTTCAGCAGTTGTTTTAATTAGCTGTCAGGGTTTCCTGTCTCAGATGATATTTGTTCCCAGAAAGCATGCAGACAGTTTCCCTCTACTCCATACGTACGTAGACTCAATGGAAATAACTGAGCATTATTTCAGTGTTTTTTCATGGCCACCATAGACTAAGGCAGGAAAGCATCAATTGTTGTGGAGGGTAGGTGGGGTGTGAGCAGAGCCCAGGCGAGCACTCACTGAGGGGTCTGTCACTAGGGCGCTGGACTTTATTCATAATGAGTCCAGAACTTATTTCCAATGACAGCCTAACTTATGCATAATGTACAGCAGCGTAATGCCCATGAAATGATGCACGAACATCATTTTTATGGTCATTACGCTGCATGAGTTAAAGCTGCTCCCCTCAGGTGCAGCGGAGCAGGGATGCACCCAGAGGCGCCCGGTCTGCATAAAAAGATGTCTTTAATCGCGATATTAATGCCCAAATAAAAAGAATAAATAAAAAGAAGGTTTGCAGTGGCAGCAGATTGAGCGTCATGTCTTCTAGGGAGTTTGTTGTTGGTGGGCGTGAACGCAGGGAGGATCCATCACCCTCACCTTCTGGTTCACCCTATGATGGGGATGAAGTCTGGAGGAGAACTGACGGTTTCCTCCTGTGAACCCCCTTTATACCAAAACGCTGCCAATACGCCATTATACAGTAGCTGGAAGGTAGAAACACGTTCAGCGCTCGTCTGGAACACATCAGATACCTTGATATGCGTTGGAGAGAAGTTCTGGATAAGTTATGCACAAGTTACTCAGAGGTTTAGGATAAGCTAGACGCCACGACTGGCACTCCTGGAACTTTTGGTCCATGTATGGCATATGCTGGCACACGTCGGGAAATTTTGAACATTACTTAAAATTTCCCAACGTGTTCCAGCGTGTTTCATCGTGCTCATTACTTACACAAACCGTACCCAAACTTATCCAACGTATGTCAGCGTTTTTGCCAGATTTTTCATAGGTCAGGCATATGCTGGTCTAAATCATCGAGGTTTGATAGGAGCTTGAGTTAGAGACTCTTTAGTGTTTGTTTAAATATCTGAAAGAACAAGTTAATTTAAACCAAACAAGACAGTCTTATGCTGTGTTCACACCCAGCATCAAAGTGTCAGATTTAAATTCAAAGTCTAGAGTTCCAGTCTGAGCACTGGGAGCGGCGCATCCGAGTGTTCAACGCTGGAGTTCCCAAAATTGAGTTTTTGCTGCTGGACGCCGGAGAGTCAACCAGTCAGAAAGCTGATCCTGGAGTTTTTTGGGGGAGATGGACACTGCCTGCAAGGTGTTATTGCTTCTGCATATGAAAAATAAATATCAAGGAAGTTAAACTCCGAAGGTTTAAAAAAACAAACTTTGGAATAATGGATTATGTAGAAGCAATAGAGAGCCAGCTCTGATCCTTATTGCTGCACTAAAAAACATTTTTGTGAACAATGGGCAAAAAAACGTATAAATACCCAAATTAACTAGAAATGTTAAAACCTGCCGACAAAAAAAAAAAAAATTAAATTTCATATTCTGGTCCTTGCATTTTTTTTTTTTACCTCAAAGTTTAAAAACTTTCTATTCACTTGCAGCTGGGAAATCCCCCACAGGCTGGCCACAGCAGAGAGCTCTCAGCGGGGATTTCCAGTGCTGCCTCCCAGTGTTCTGTCAGACCAGCATACCCATAATTAATACCTGTTTATCTCTTTAGTTTATCCGTTTTATTTAGTACAAAAAATAAACTTTAAACTACCTCAGCGGGCATGCATTTTTTAAATAGTTTTTTTTGTACTTGACTAAAGGGATACAGGGATAAAGTCTGTTTTTGTACAAAACTAAAGGGATAAACGCAAATCTGACGTCTTGTGCACGCATATGGACTATGGGTATGCCGATCTGACAGAACACGCGGTATGCTGGAGGACTGGAGCTCCGAACAAGAACTGCATATTTTAGTGGGATCATAATCCTGATGAACAGAGGATGGTTGGAGATGGACTTTCTTAATTAAAAACAATTTTTCCAACTCATAATTGAAATAAAACCAAGCTGCTCTCTTGCAGCTACAGAGCAGATAAACAACCAGAACCTCAAAGCGTCAAAGACACTTGACCCAGCATCCAAATTTCAATGTTTAGGCGTTTTTGACGCATAAAAAGCTTCTGGCGGGACGCAGCATTACAGAGATGTTTTTGAAGAGGACAGTGTCAGACCCTAAAATGTAAATGTAGAAATACTGATTGTTGAGCAGGGGCAGGCCTGATGGGTTTGCTGTGTTTTGCAGGCGACACGTGGACTGAGACCTTGGCTTATGTTTTGTTCTGGGGAACAGCCAGCGTTCTGACGGGAGGCCTCATCATGTTTAACGGCCGGGACTTTGTAGACGCTCCCAAGCTGGTCCAGAAAGAGAAGCTGGACTGAATGTGTGTGTGTGGAAAGCAGCTCGGCCCTGGCGAAGCGAACACGTCGTCCCTCCTCCCCCATCGGCATCAGCAGGCCTGGAGCCTTTATTAGCCAGCGTAGCAGCAAAGGAGGGCGATGGACCAGAACCAACCCAGGTTCAAACGGCAGAGAACCGGGAGCGGCAGCGCTGAGGCCTGCTGCTCTCCACACGGCACTCGTTATGGTGGACAGGACTCTGTTCACAGGTTTTAGAATAAAACCACAACTTGTTGACTGTCTTCAGTTAAGAAGAATGATCCTTTGTGTAAAGGACCTTTTTTTTCCTCTTTATGGATCATTAATATCTGATGATCAGACTCCTCTACATGTATGTTCATACTGCTCATGTTTTATACTTGCATTTGTCCAATAGTTTCAATATTGTTCAACCTGGTTGAAAGTCTGGAACATTATCTTTTGAAGATTCTCAGAAAAAGCCTTGAACTCAACACTGTTTCTGACATTTTGAATTGAAAAAGGTTCCTGGATGAGAAGAGAAACGTCTTCAAACTCGGAAACAAAGTCCAGTGGATCGTTTTTTAAAACTTTTTTGGAATTATATTTTAGTAGAACAGCACTCGGAAGGCAACTATAGTTCAGTGGGTAAAGCAGCCATCTGGCAATCAGAAGGTTGTTGGTTTAATTCCATATTTCTTTCCCATATCAGGGGAACAAGACGGAGATCTTGGTTTATTAAATGTCACATATAATGTGAAAGCATCAAAAAATTGCTGTAAAAGCTCAACCAAAACTTTCAGATTCATCTCATCTTAAAGCTGGAAGTATGTAATGGCTAATGTAATGTAAAGTCAGACATCTAAAGAAACCAGTCAGTCTAAGGGATTAAAGTTTAGAACTGAATGCTGATCATTTCTGCAGAGTGGTTGTTTTTCATGCTGTGTTTGAATATAAAATGTTCCTCTTTTCAAGGAGATGCTAAATTTAATTTCATTCTGAAAAAATAAAGACTTTAATCCTAATGGGGAATTATGAAGGTGTGCTTTGCCCGATGGCTGGGAGACATGGCGACTTTGGGAATTTAGGGATCCAAGAGCATTGTGCTGCAAAAAAATTAGCAAAAGATTTCTTGAAATAAGTGCATTTACCCTTAATTTGAGTAGGAAATAATTACATCTGCCAATGGAATCAGCATTTATACCCCTAAAATGAGATAACTGCACTTGAAATGAGAGAATATAGTTGTTTTTTTACTGTTTTAAATGTAAATTGTATTATTCCATTTAGGGCTGAACAATTAATCGCATTTTCAATATAATTGCGATTTTAAAAAATGCAATTTTCAAATCGCGGATTTGCAATTTTTGGCTATGTAACAATTAGTGAATCAGACGCGTTCTTTAGGTGTCAGTAAAATGTTTAAAGTGAATTTGCCTCCACATGGAAGGGAAGACAGTTGCAGCAGTGAGATAATCTAATTTTATTGTTTTAGAGTTTATATATTCATACATAGCACTAAGTACCAGTTAATCAGTTTAATACA